CCGTCTCAAAAAAAAAAAAAAAATACAAAAATTAGCTGGGCATGGTGGCCTATGCTTGTAATCCCAACTACTTGGGAGGCTGAGGCAGGGGAATCACTTGAACCCAGAACACAGAGGTTGCAGTGAACTGAGATCGTGCTGTTGTACTCCAGCCTGGGCAACAAAAGCAAAACTCTGTCTCAAAAAAAGAAAAAAGAAAGAAAAAATAAACTTTTTAAAAAAGACTCAACCGTATTATTGCTTAAGGCTCTGAAAAGAGCCTTTTTCTGTTTCCTCCTCAAGAAAAAATGGCCGGAGTGATTTGACCTGCTACAGAGGAACCTGGGATTCTCTGTACTTGGTGCAAGGTTCTAGCACCTGGCTGTTACTTTATCCTGGGTGGGCCTTAATTTTAAGAAGTAGACCTCTGCCATCATCTCATCCTGGGGTTTTCCACCTGAGCGGCTCAGAAGCTGTACTTGATTCAGCTAGAACAACTCTGGCTTATATATATATGTTACTATATATTTATGAGTATATATTTTCCATTGTCCCTTGGAATCGATGGGAGATTGGTTCCAGGACACTCTACTGATACTTAAATCAATGGAGACTCTAGTTCCTTCTATTTTTTTTTTAAAGATGGGGTTTCACCATGATGGCCAGGCTCGTCTTGAACTCCTGACCTTGGGTGATCCACGCACCTCTACCTCCCAAAGTGCTAAGATTACAGGTGTGAGCCACCACGCCCGGCCTACTCTAGTTCCTTCTATAAAATGGTGTGGTATTTGCATATAACCTGAGCCCATATTCCCATATACTCTATTTATTTCTTTGTTTGAGGGTTTTTTGTTTTATTTTCTCTAACCCACCCTTTCCCTATTTGTTTGTTTTTTAACAAGACAGAGTCTCATTCTGTCACCCATGCTGGAGTGCAGCGATGCAATCATGGCTGACTGTAGCATTGACATCCTGGGCTCAAGCAATCCTCCTGCCTCAGCCTCCTGAGTAGCTAAGACCACAGGTGCTCATCACTATGCCTGGCCAATTTTATTTATTTATTTTTGGTAGAGATGGGCTCCCTGCGTGTTTCCCAGGATCTGGGCTCCCATCTCCTTAATAAATTCAAATGAAGGCTGAGAAGGTAGAACCAGTGGGTCTTGGGGAGGCTCTGTGTAAATAAATATGAGACTTGGGTGTTTATCACCTTTGTTTTCTGTCTCTTCCCATCAGGAGAAGTGGCCCCAGTGCAAGGAACTGCATTCGACCTGAGAAAGCCAGTGGAGCTTGGAAAACACCTGCAGGACTTCCATCTCAATGGTTTTGACCACAATTTCTGTCTGAAGGGATCTAAAGAAAAGCATTTTTGTGCAAGGTCAGATATTTTTCACTTCCTGAGTCTGTAAGAAAGAAACCGACACCAACTCCTATTTTCCTTTGGAGCTTTTCCTCTGGCCATATCAATAGCATTTACTATGCTACAGGTAACCCAGTACCACATTCCATATCTTCTCAAAGCTCCTGTGGTACAGGTGAGCTCTGTAGAATTCATCCCCCTCCTCCTACCTCCCATTACCCATATTCCTCCACCCTCAGTGCCTCCTCTCTCCCTCTCTGCTTGTTCTTTAAGGCCTATTGTTAGAAGCCTTAACTCAGGCCAGGCACAGTGGCTCATGCCTGTAATTCCAGCACTTTGGGAGGCTGAGATGGGTGGATCACCTGAAGTCAGGAGTTCAAGACCAGCCTGGCCAAAGTGGTGAAACCCCGTCTCAACTAAAAATACAAAAATTAGCCAGGCTTGGTGGCAGGTGCCTATAATCCCAGCTACCCGGGAGGCTGAGGCAGGAGAATCCCTTGAACCCTGGGGGCGGAGGTTGCATTGAGCTGAGATTGTGCCACTGCACTCCAACCTGGGTGACAGAGCAAAACTCCGAAAAGAATCCCGGGCTGGGTTCAGTGGCTCATGTCTGTAATCCCACACTTTGGGAGGCTGAGGTGGTCAGATGACCTGAGGTCAGTAGTTCAAGACCAGCCTAGCCAACATGATGAAACCCCATCTCTACTAAAAATACAAATAGTTAGCCAGGCATGGTGGCAGGTACCTGCAATCCCAGCTAGTTTAGAGGCTGAGACAGGAGAATCACTTGAACCCATGGGGCAGAGGTTGCAGTGAGCCCAGATCGCAGCACTGGACCCCCCCGGGCAAAAGAGCCAGAGTCTATCTCAAAACAAACAAATAAAAATTAGCTGGATGTGGTGGCGCACACCTGCAGTCCCAGCTACTGGGGAGCTGAGGTGGGAGAGCTGCTTGAGCCCAGGGGGCAGAGGTTGCAGTGAGCCGACATTGAGCCACTGCACTCCAGAACAAGACTCTATTAAAAAAAAAAAAA